GAGAGAGAGAGAGAGAGAGAGAGAGAGAGAGAGAGAGAGAGAGAGAGAGAAAGAGAGAGAGAAAGTGGGGGCTGCACATACATGTAAGAGAGTCTGCGCATACATGCGTAAATGCACATGTAGGATACGAACACAGGTCTACTATCTCAGGTGCCTTTGGTATAATACACCTTGAGGCAGGGTCTCAGACTTCTGACCCAGAGTTTGCCAAATAGTGTGGCTGGCTGGCCAGTGAGTCCCAGGAGTCTACCTGTGTCTAACTCCCAGCCCTGGATGATAACATGCACTACCATGCCAAGCTTTTCCATGAAGGTTCTGGAAGCTGAGGTCAGGTCTTCACCCTTGCACAGCAAGCACTGGACTAAGCTTGCCCCAAAGTCCGTCATGTGCTCTTCAATTCAAATTTAAGAATGTTACTGAAAACTCATGTTCATCATAAAAATCATTTTAATTTTGTTATCCTTACTGGTTCTGGTATCAAGTTGATGCTGGCTAGCCTTGAAGAATTTTCAAATGTATCTTTCTGAAGATGAGCATGGTGGCACCTGTCTGTAACCCTGGCACTGGAGACAGATACAAGAAGGATGCTCCAACCTGGTCTATATAGTGGAACACAGGACACTTTAGGCCACATAGTAGAACCTTCTCTCAAAAATAGAAAAAAAACAAAACAAAACAAAACAAAACAAAAAGCAAACAGCAGAAAGAATAAAAACCCAAAAGCTTGGCACGGTAATTGTACATGCAAAGAGGTTCGGTGTGACTTCTCAGTCATGCAAACAGCATGTAATGACCAAACAGTGTCACTGGCAACAGTATTACATCAGCCTTTACTTCTGTTATGAATATTCAAAAACTCCTACTTACTTTTGCAGCCAACTTTTTTTCTAAGTACTTCTACTAAATCACTAGAAATTAGCCCTTTTACCCAACTACAGCCATGACTTAAATTTTCTCCATTCCCAGAAAAGTGTGCATTGTTGTTGTTGTTGCATGGATACTTTCCTGGAGTCAGGGAAGAGGGAACCATAGCTGGGAAAAATGACGCCAGCAGACTGCCCTGTAGGCCAGTATATAGAGCACTGTCTTGATTTAATGGCTGAGAGCTAAGACGAAGCCATGGAGCTCATCCCTGGAGCTAAGACGAAGCCATGGGGAGCAAGCCAGGAAGTGTCCTCCACGGCCTCTGCTTCTGTTCCTAACGGACTAGGAGCTGTGAGGTGAAATAAACCTCTTCCTCTTCAGCCATTTTCACAGCAGCAGAAAGCTAGGACAGGAGTGACTTGGCCTACAAACGTCAATCAGACCCTGTTAGCTGCAAATGCTGCTGTTCTCTGGGGTCTTTAATGAAAGGGTTGCTGAAGTCTGTCAGCACCTTTTGCTTCACGTATTTTGCAGGTCAACTTTTTGGTGCCCGCTGTCTAGGATTTCTGTCTCCTTAATGGACTGCCTCCAACCCCCTTGTGAGATGCTGCGTATGCCTGTAATTCTGTTATACAAGAGGCTGACATAGAAGGCTGGTAAGTTCAAAAGTCAGCCAAAATTATGCAGTGAGATCTCATCTCAAAAGAAAAAAAAAGAGCGAAGGCAGAAAAAAATATAGAATTTTCCCTTCTCCCAAAATGTGTTCCACAAAGCAATTTCTTTTCCTCAGTAAGACTGACTGCCAATCTACTTCCTGCCTAGAATATCGCAAAGTTCAGGTTAGTAAACAAGAACGAACAAGTCTCTTAGCCTGTTGTGCATCTCTCAAAGCTGATGTGGTCATACTAGCCATTACTGTAGAAACAGTTACCTGTTCCATACAGCCTTCTTTCCTCTGAGAGCTGGAAACCAAGAGTATAACAGCTTCCCTCAGCCCTTCTGCCCCCACTCCATGCCTCGTGCCCTCCCTCCCAGCATGCACCGCTCCCCAGAGGAGACAAGACTGAGGGCTGCTATTCCAGGCCTGTCTCTGGAATGTCATTATTTCCCACCTCAAAATCACAAAGAAAGAAAAGGTCCATCTCAGGTATGAAGATATTTAATCAGGAACTCTTTCCAGATCCAAGGCATCCCTGAGCTTAAGAAAAAGAAAGAGCACATATGATTTAGTTGGCTTTCTCTTTTAATCAAAAACATACTTTGTTACAGAGTTCTCAAGAAAGTTTCAACTATTTTATTTTTAGCCACAGACTTCAACCAGGCAAAAGTATATAGAAAGGAAGTAACTGAGTCTGAGGGCTTCCCTAGGAGCACAAGCTCTGAGTAGCCCTGAGCGGGAGACAGAGCTGGGAGACCACGTCTGTCCCCGGCACCTCCGCCGCGTCTCCCACACTGGACTCTGCAGCACTGCACACTGGACTCTATAGCCAGTTCTCATCACGACAGGCAGTCATGCTTTTCTCGGAAGTCACATGTCCGATGCACTGAACAAAAAACCCTCCGTTTGGAGGAAGTTTGCAACTCCATAGTCAGCCTTTTAACCAATCCGAGCCCGTGAGTCCTTCTACCAATGACAAGCAGCCTTAGCAAGAGCAGCTGGTTTCCTCCCTTCTTCACCAGCTACCGCAGAGCGGGCCTCTACCAGGACTCCCCAACCCCCCACCCCTAGCCCACCCCCTAGAAAGGTTCCCAGGCCCTTAAAAATAACAAATTCAGTTATTATACTCATCCAAGCAGGTTGGAAGAGAACTCTCTGGAAAGAATGATCCAGCCAAAAGTTGTCTAATCAAAATGGATAGAAAAGAGGCAAAACTGAAGTGAATACGCATTCACTGATACTGGTTTTCATAGCATCAATTAAAATATTGATACAATTCTGGAGAACTTCCTGTTTTGAGCGTAGAAGAGTTAAGCAACTAAAGACCCAAAGAAAGGACCTCTGATATCACCAGGCATTAACAGGATTTCAATCCATTTTAGGTGAAGAATTGCTAGCACTCAGGAAGACAGTGTCACACATACCAACTTGTGTCAGAACGCCATGACTCAGAAGAGCCTTTAGACAGGCTGTGAACACAGACTACGGGAAAAGGAAATGGAGGCTCCCCCACCCCAGCTGTTGATGTTTTCGTGGTGGACTCACTGCAGCCCCTAAGGTGGTGCTAGGCCTTTGGTTAAAGTAAGTCATAAGGACATATGTAACTACCTGTCCACAGAAGACCAAATAATGAAAGATCAAGCCTGTCTCACTGAGTAACAAAGAAATAAGCAAGAACCCCCTCAGACAGCAGAACAAAGGGACAGAGCAATGCAAATCACTGCAAGGCAGGCAAGGTCACTTAAAAGCCAGAGCTGCAGAGCAGTCCTGGCCTCATTTCACAGGAAGGGAAGCGACTTGCCAAGGACACACTAAATCGTGAACCATAAGTGCTACTGTCTGAGTCCAGAGCCACATGTGTTTGGTTGAACAGGAACATGAACTCTGGACCAACTGAGAAAACATCTTAAACAAACTGTGTGAACACAGAGAAATGATTGTCTTCACCAAAATTCTTCTCAGTTCTTCCCATATTAAAAAAGGAATAAAAAGCTTCATTCATTTTAAGTTTGATGCGAAAATCCCTGAAAACATCAGTCATTACATTAGCTACTCCTTGGGGCATGATATCAGACCCTCAATTCTCATAAAGGCACCTAAAGGTCAGAAGTATCTACAGAGGAAGGCGGCTAGAGTGGGGTTAGGAGGACACAAAACAAGCAAGGATGCTTTCGGAAGAGGGTGTGTGCGGTCTGATGATGTCTCTAGCAAACAGTACAGTTCTTAGGAGTGAATTATGTGGAAACTAAATCTTTCCAAACACTGGGGGAAAAGGAGGCTACGGGGCTATGAGTATGACTTAATTCTCTCTGTATCGACCATATAAAACTCATCAAGAATCAGAGACCACTGGAAGCAATCGAATCAATGCCAAACTGCAATGTACCAAAGTCCTTTTCAAGGCCAAAAGGAAAGTGTCCTGGGTGAACACTACTAATTTCCCTCAACTGGTTCCCTCAGCTAAGCAGTTAGGACTGATGAATTAGAACACAGTGAGAACACTAGGGAGGCAGACTGCCAGCCACCCAAGTAGTAGCTGTCAAAAAGGAAGATGAAGAGAATTCAAAATGAAAACATCCGTTCAGAAAAGGCTACATCGTGCTGTCTACCTCAGAGGCCCAGAGCCCAGAGACAGCAGAGAAAGAGAAGAAACGCTACACCCAGTACATCCTGATTTGTTAAATAGCTCCCACCAACAAATGGCTAATTTTTAAAAGGTTTTACTCTTTAATAAGGCAAGATGATGAAAACCTTCACTCTTCAGTAACACCAGATAAACAATCTCGCTGTACCGAAGGTGTAGGTCAGAGGCTCTGCCAAGGACGCTGCTATGGATAAGGCCACTGGCTGTTTACACACTTCTTAATGTATCACAAGAGAAGAAACTGCTTGGTTACCAGAAGGGAAAACTGGGAAGGCTTGAGCAGGAGGAGGATTTCAGGGGCTGTTTACAGATCGCTGTGCAGCGAGATGAGTTTGTCTCCACCAGGCCCCACCTATGAGCTGTTCTGTGACAGGGCTCACGCTCACTGCAGTAATCCAGCTCACCCCAGCTCCCCTCTACACCACTCTCCATCATTAAGTAAAATGACAGCAAAGAAGACACAACCTACAGAAACTACCAAAAGGAACTCTGGCCAAGTCCAAATAAAACTGCTCCTTCCAAGAGGCCTCAACTGGATGGAACAACAAATGGAAATTAAAAACAAACAAAACAACAATAAAAACAAAAAACCCTAACGAGTGGCAATTAGCCAACTCGTAGCAGCCAAGGGGCAAATATACTTCACTTCCACAGATACTTCACAAGTATTTCCGGAAGATTCCCTTCTCCAATCTGTAAAACCTCTGAGTTTACTTTGCCTTTAAAGTTGCTAACACAAACCACACCACTCCCTATAAAACTGGATTTTTAACTTTGAAATACAGCATAGTTAATCATGTGTATGGCGGCTCATCCTGTCTGTGAACCTGTACTGTTTATAGGAACTGTGGGTTAGGACAATACAAAAACATGGTGTTTGGGGAAAAGTAAGTACATGGCAGTGGTGTATCATCGTCTTTGTTCAGCAGGGGCAGTAAAGCAGAACAGTTAAGTAGAGTCGACTCTACCCCACAAAAGAATCTATTTCCAAGCAAATAAAGGCAATACCATTAAGGATTCCCTTTAACTATGCACAGAAAAGGCACAAGACAAAAGTAGAATGGGTTTCAAACCAGGTAGGCCTACTTCATCTCTCACTCAGTTTCCAGTGAAATTGAATCTTAGGAGACTCTTGAGCTATGAATCAGAGACCAACACCCGGAACCACACCCACATTGTAATCAGACTCTGAAAACTACAGAAACTGTTTTATCCTAAAATGGACACAAAATTTTGAAGCTTGGGGAAGTTTTTTAAAGTCTTATTCATCAAAGATGGCAACTTCCAAGGAACAAAAAGAAACAGTTTATAAAAGCAGAGGATGGCCACATTACAAGGATCATCAAAAACTAGGAGAAAATTCTATGGCTCTTAGTAAAAAAACCAAGACAGGTGGCTTGGCTCTGAAGAGATACTTCTTAGCAAATTATTTCCCACATACTTTATGAAGATGATTAAACATATCTGTAAAGTAGAAAAGGAAGCATCAAGGTGTCCCACGGCATGGACAATGTTCTAGTGGGATGACCTGGACTCTTGAAAGTCTGTTACACTAAAACTCTCCCCTCTCACTCCTATTCCCCAGTCATAGTAAAAGGGATCTAAAGACAAACATTTCTAGACAAGGTAGCATTTTATAATTCTGCCAGTACAACTTTTTAAAAAATTACCTTAAACTTATACAGATAATAATTAGGTCTGTAACAAAAGTATTTATAAGTTCTTAGAAATGAACTAGTAAAGAAGTTTCTTAAAAAACAAGGTGTGTAAGGTAGGGTGAGATTTTCACTTCGTCACGGCAGCAGTCGGGGTCTCTGGCCCTTCTGAAGCAGGCACAGGGACCTGCTCACCACAGCACAAAGAAAACGCTGTGCAAGTGTTTCCAGAGCTCAGATGCCTGCCGCACCGCAAAATTCCTAGGGAACTCTCAGAGCAAGGCCTAAAAGCATCTTGATGGTGATCCTGATTTTATTCACACTATTAACCCCAGGTCTAGTTTCGCTACAGTAAAATAAAAATTCAGAAAATAACCAACTCTACACATGATACATAATGTACATGGGAAAGTCCTGGTAGAGTGTGAGGGAAACCAGAGCTGTACAATCCAACTGGCTGCTGCCTGTCATTTAGTAGAAGGTGTCTTGCCACTGAGATTGGACTCAAAAGTGCAAAAGGAAAGCATTTTAAAAACAAAACCTAGAATTCAACTTTGTATATTGAGACTCAGTTTTATTTACGCTACTAACTAGGTAAAAAGTATACATGTGTCTGTGGTACAGTCAACGCATCTGCAGCTTTTCTAGTTCAGTCTCTATACAAAGTCACTGCCGACTGATCGATGATGTCAAACAAAGGGCTTAGAATAACCAAAAGGTATAAAAAAGTTTGCAGTCTTGCCCCAAGATACAAAAACTGAATTTTAAACAATGTCAAAACATACATGATTTAAACAGTATATGAAAAAAAGTCACACATCAAATCAAGTACAAAAATACCCAAACTACCTATTACGAACCGCAATGTTTCCATTATTCTGCACAGCATTTAACAGAGAATTTAGCAGTTTCCAAAATAGCCATTATTTTAGTTGAAGGACTGCCACCTTGCAGAACAGTGAAGCATCAGGCAGAGCAACACTGTTTTTAGTGTTTTTATAAATACAAAACCGACTGTGAATTAAGGGCAAAGAAATTCCCCCTAGGCTTTTTTTTATAACCAACCATATGCCTAGAAATATAGAAGAATTCATCTACTGTTTAACAGGGCAAAAGTATACATCTTGATAATGGTCATCCATTAGGGCTAAAAAAATCTGAATGGCATTTCTTTGACTGGTAATTGTAAAGAACTGTCACTATGCACACAGATTAGTGTTTTGTCTTGGGGGGGAAAACCCTGAAGTCTGCAAGACAGTATGAATTTAATTCACCTTCACTGTTTAACTTGCAAAAAACATTCTGGATAAAAGGTTGATAAAGGTTTTTAGAACAGAGTGAAATTGCTTTCAGTAAAACTGACTCGCCCACGTGGCACCTGAACACGGCGTGTCCAACAATAACCTGCTCACTAAGTAACAGGTGAGCTATTTGAGAACTGCTCTGCAGAGGAACACACCAGTGTCCTGAGCATGAGCAGCTCTCGCACACGTCAAGGGCTGAGTTCCCAGCACTGGAGTGACTCCTTCATACATTAACAACCAGAGAAGATTTAGTAAGAATTGGGTCTTCCTGATCTTCAAGCTCTGAGCCATGCCTGAAAAGTTTTAAAATAGAAAAAAAGTTTTAATTCAGTTTCTGTCTGCTAAGAGCAAGGCAGCAAACACATCTTCAACCCTTTATGAAAAGACAGAGCAGAACAAAAATGCAATAGATCTTCAGATTATAAACAGGATTATATTTCATAGTCCACCATCCTGAAAATGGCTAGGGCGTCCATGGTGAGCGCTCTCAGTCTAAAGGCTGTGGGTCTGCAATGGGCATGGTGTGGAGCACTTCATCAAGGAGCTGGAGAGCGCGGTGGAGGTGAATCTCAATCCAGCACGGTGTTTCCTTGATGCTCTGTCTCGGATAATCTGGGCCCCAGCCTTTCACAAAGCTCATCCTGAGTATGCACAAGCGACGGAGGTCATCTACCCCGATGCCGGCAGCAGCGGACAGACCTAACAGAAGAAGTGTGGAAGGTGTCAGGGAGCAGGGTCATCTCTTTCCGTCCTCCCCACACTCTGTCTTCTTTATGTGTTTTCCTCAGCACACAACTTCTCTGTCAAAGTGTCAAAAGTAACTGCGGGTCTAAACCTTATCAACGGGACTGAAAATTTGGTTAAGACAGTTTACATTCCACATATGTATTTTAACTACCAGAGACCAAATAATTTCCCACAATTCACCAACATTTCATTCCTTTTCCTCTTTAGAAGTTGGAATACAGGAGGAAGAATTGACTTCTTTTGTAAAAGTCAGAGCATGCCATGGTCCTAAGAACCTCAGTATCTAAACGGCCACACTAGAATAAGCCGTGACTGATAACCAGTCATGTACCTGGTCCCACTGAGACCCTCAGGTGTCTTGTGTTTGTCTCTCAGTTTTGAGATAATATATGAGGGGGGAGATAGATAAAAATAAGAAATTCAATACTAGTCTGAATTCTTAAGGACACAGAACATGTCTGTCTATAACATTAAAACTAGCAAATGTTTAGCTCCCTAATCTTTTTTAATTGAATTAGTGACTGTATCTTGTATATACCTAAATTGTAAACTCCTGAACATATGTCACAACAGACTGTATCTAATTTTCCAGTCAGAACATACAGTCATGTAGTCAGTCCACATTTATCAATATTACCATGAGCCTAATTGGAGGAGTCTGTAAGGAGCTGGGCAACTCCAGCAGGGCACTGCAGTTTCCTTAGCCAGTGTGATGTGCTTACCACACTGAAGAAGTTAACAACAGGGGCTGAATGAACCACTAGTTATGCCTTCAGACGTGAAAGATGGCTGCCACGTGTTTCCATCATAAAAGTCTAGTGTCAGGAGTTTAACTCTGCAGTAAAAAATTCCCCATCAGTGTGAAACCTGGCACAGTTCAATTTTACCCTAAAATTAAAAACTCTACAAGTTATAAAATGCCACCCTCTCTTAGCTCTGTGTTCAGAATACTGTTCCTAAATGGAGGTGTCCAGTTCTGAACCTGCGGTAGCTGTTCCCAACAGCACAAAGTCAAGTTCTCAGTGATTTAACCCCCTGGCTGGGGAGGCAACAACTATAATCAGCAGCACCCAAAGAGGAAAGACCCAAGTATGACAACCCCTGCATCACCTAATGCCAACAGGATCCTAGCCCAGCAAAGTGAAGCTACTACAGAAGGAAGAGTTTTACAAATTCCAATATTATAACCCAGTAAAAAAATCTTAACTTCTATTGTTATTTAAACAATTGATCAAGTGAATAAATCAAGATTAAAAGCCACTATTACACTTTGGACAGAAAAATGTACGTACTGATTGCTGGAGCTATTCCACCTACGGACCCGGGACCAGGGATGTTCCCTGCCACAGCGGCCGCCTGGGCAGCAGCTGCAGCTTGTGCAGTGGCCGCCTGCTGCTGCATCTGCCGGTGACACTGCCGCAAATCGAAGACCTTTATAAAACAAAGTCTAAGTTTAAGATAAGTACACCACCCAAGATTACATTCTTCAAAAGCCAACATGTAACAGACCAACAACTCAGAGTTCCATTGCCTCTCATAGGAAATGAGTTAATTATGGAGTTTTTCAATTTCAGGGCTTTCCAAAGTACTCAGGTCTGACAGTCAGCACCTACAGGACAGCTCACAGCGGTGTCCTCAGGCCCAGGGATAGGATGCCCTCTAAGGTTACAGACAATCACGTGGTACAAAGACATACATGAAGACAAAGCACCCGGACACACAAAATGATTTTTCAAAAGAAGTTTTAAATGTTTTTATGCAGACTGTACAGTTTCAGAGATCAGCGAGAGGTACATTTCACTGTCTAGAAGGACCTGTGTGGGCCAGCTGTCCCTAGCTTTCTGTATCAAATGAACAAGTAGGAAATTGCCCATTTCCTACTTCCAGAGCCAAACATTCAGTTTTCTTTACGCTAGAGAGGATAGCTTTGCCTTTCTGCCCAGCTGCATTGTCACTATATAGGAAAACAGATATAGTTTAGTTGTTATATTTAGAAGATTTACTTTAGTGTGTGTATGTTTCTGTACGTGTCTGTCTAGGTGTATGCAGATGCCCAAGACAGCTACAAAAGGGTATCTGATCCCCTGGAGCTAGAGTTACACGTAGTTGGGAGACACATCATGTGGGTGCTCAGAACCCAGCCTGGCCCTCTGGAAAATCAACAAGTACTCTTAACCACGTAGTCCTCTCTCCAGGCTTCACACCCACATCTTTAAAAGAAGTATACTTTAGAACCCAGAACATAGTAACAAAACTAAAAGGTAAACCAAACAATTATAAGAACATAACTATTTTAGTTAAGTGATGGCTTTATGGAAATTCATGGAAATGGCTTCTATTTTCATGTTTAAAAATGTTTACAACTTTTAAAGAGTCAGTTTTGACCACCAATGAGTTACATGTGCTAAGTACTTAACCTCCTCAGAGCCTAACCATAAAATAGGAATATTAAGTCCACATACTTTCATAGGGTAACTATACAGTTTGCTGTTAACAGATGTTACTGTTTTGCTTTAAGCCTTCCCAGTAGTCATATTCCTTTCGAGAGGAATTAAGAAAGACTCGGTAAGTCATTTCTCATCAAGAAGAGAAGACTGACATAATGAAGAAGGGCCAATGGCATTTTATCTCCTTTTTTGTGTAAGGACTGGAATGTGATTTCAATAATCAACAATTTATGGGTAACAAATCACCTCATTACCTGAGAAAAACATCTACATTTTAAATTTTACTTCCCCAAATAATTCTCTTGCCATTTTAGTAAGCTGTGGAAGAGTCCACAGAAAGAGTACTAGGCTGTGAGAGAGAAGGCAGGAGAGGCAGAAACAAGGCTGTGTACTGGATCACTTTAGCTTCTGAACTGTGTAACTTGACTCCTATTTTTTTTTAAGATTTTTTAAAATTATGTATACAGGGTTCTTCCTGCATGTACAGAGGAGGACACCAGATCTTATTACAGATGGTTGTGAGCCACCATGTGGTTGCTGGGAATTGAACTCGGGACCTCTGGAAGAGCAGCCAGTGCTCTTTACCTCTGAGCCACCTCTCCAGCCCCTTGACTCCTATTTAAAACATAACTAATTCTTTAAATTTGGAATACAGATAACTCAAGTACATGCTACCCTATCACTGAAAACAAGGAAAATCAAAGTGTACATAATTTTCTACTCAGTAATAATAGGTTTGGTAAATTTTCCAACACTTTACAATGTCTTAATCATGGTATTTAAACACTAACCATAAAGACATACAACAATAATACAATCTCTTCAAATAACAAACCATAATCCTATTTGCTTATTCCTTAACTTGATACCCATTTTCTAAAAAACAAGATACAAAACATTTCTTAACTGGCACATCTGAAAACAAACCGAGAGCATCCCTCTCTTAGAGAGACTACGAATAGGAAGACGGGTCAACTACAAAGTCCTGAAAGACTTTCAAAGATGAACTTGACAAAGTCCTAAGGATCAGAATTCCTCAATGCCTAGAACAGAAAAGCTACTCTCTGCAGCTCCCAACAGTTTTCTTAGACACTCAACTTTTCTACTGGGTCTGACCTTTAGAAGGTATTGTCTAGCACAGTACAGCATATGGTCGAACCCTTTCCCATCTCAACAGCTCTGCACAAAGTGTCTTTTGTTTTGGTTTTTCAAGGCAGGGTTCTATGTGTAGCCTTAGCTGCCCTGGGACTCGCTTTTAAAGACCAGGCTGGCCTCAAACTCACAGAGATTTGCCTGCCTCTGCCTCCCGAGTGCTGAGATTAAAGTTGTGCGCCACCACGCCAAGATCTCTACCTTATTTTTTGAAACAGTGTCTCTCACTGAGCTTGGAGCTATTGACCTACCTGCCCTCACAATGTTAGGGTTACAGGCCCACACTGCCACACCTGGCTTCTACACAGGTACTGGGGATCTGATCTGAGGTTCTAAAGCCTGTGGAGAAAGTACTTTGCCAACTGGGCCATTTCCCTAATCCCTACCCTATAAACTAGTTTTAATGAAGCACAAATTACCAACTGTTTTTATAAATCAAGCCTTTGATGTTTTGCTAAAGTTATCTAGGTTTAATCCTCATACCTTATAGGAATTTCATCGTTTTACATCACCTATATACAATCACTTAAAAAAAACAATCACTAATCAGGTATAATATATGTAACCCTTTTGGGAGGTGTATTTGAGGGAGGGCTCACTATCTATTCCTGGCTAGCCTGGAACTCACTATTTAGGCTGGCCTGGAATTCAGAGCTCTTCCTGTCTCTGCCTCCCAAGTGCTGGACTAAAGGTGTTTAGCACCATGCCTAGCCCATACGTAATCTTATTATCTAAACATAGGATTAAAAAAATGTTTAACACTCCTTCCTGCCCACCACAAATCATTAAAATCAACCAAATAATCTTCACATATGAGGACAGTACAACTATGTTGTAAAATATCAAATACACAACTGAATGCATAGTATACAAGTGGCATATATGTCAAGAAACCACAAAAATGAAAAATGATGACGTGATTCTGAGGATAAATATGATGCACCAAACGTCACTAACCCCCCCACACCCCCCAGGCATTCTTTGACTAAACAGCAACTGAAATGATACAGCGGTCTGCACTATGAAGCATTTCCAGAAGGAAGTGGTGAGATTTACACTCAATCCTACCGTGTATGACAGCTGATAAGGAAGTGCTCAGGGGACTGAAAACTCTGACATTAAAAACATATTTATAGTTATTGCACCTATTTTTGTCTTTCACAAAGAGTGTATGTTAAAAATAAAACGGAAACGTGTTGAATATGTAATCATCAGTAAAAGTTATCTCCAGCTTCTTGGCATCTTAATTTGCAGTTTATGAAGGTCTGGGGGAAAAGCTCAGGACAAAGTACTAGCGCAGGTGCCCAGCAGTGAAAGAAAAGATTCCATCCCTTGAAAGACTGTTAACTTAGAATTGTCTTCCATAAATCCATAAACACCTGCTAAACTCAAACTCTGGAGTCGGAGGCTTCATTACTATTTTCAAGGATCTATGTGTCACAATAAACAACTTCACAGAGCTGAAGACACTTTTATGTTTAAAAGCAATGAGAAACAGATCTCCAGAAAATGTGTTTTATACTCAAAACACACGCCTATTTTGTTATAGCGGTGCTTTTGTTTGTTGAGATAGGGTATCATAATGCAGCCAAGGCTGATCCAAAATTCACAATGTATACAGCCAAGAATGGCTTTGAGCTCATAATCCTCCTGCATCCTTCTGTTGAATGTTCCCATGACAAGACTCTCACTACCTCTAACCAAAACAGGTTTCCACTCCTCACATCTCCATTTCCAGGCTTCAAGCAACAAAGAGGTTTTTAAGTCTAAAATATTCAAATATACATGTAACTGACCTTTATATATGCACTTGGGTAGATCTTATGAACAGCGTCGCCAGGTGCTCGTCCAGCCTCTCTGTCCAGGTAGTAACTCTGCACAAAGACTGCATGGTCACTAAGGCACCTGACCCAAACATCACCTTCACCTTTACATTCCAACTGCACACCTTTGCCTATGTGTAACCTTAGGGAGGAAAGACACAATTACATTTCATCTTAGGTATAGTAAGTTTTAGTTTAGGTACATAGCAAGAATAAAAAATATAATACAATACACAAAAGACTGCCACTGTAGGCATCTTTGGTATTTCCTTTTTGTATATAACAAATATATATTAATCTCTATATAAACAGATACAATACTTACTGTATCAGAAGCACTTAACACAAATTTCATTTAACCCTCACAACTAAATAAGGTAAATTCTTTACCTTTTAAAAAGATGTGTGTGTGTGTGTGTGTGTGTGTGTATGTGTGTGTGTGTGTGTGTTAGAGAAAGGTGCCCATGAAACTCAGAAGTCATCATCAAATCCCTTAGAGCTAGTTACAAGCAATTAGGGGGTGCTGGGAACTGAACTCCAGTCCTCTGGAAGAATAACAAATGCTTTTAATGGCTGAGCCATCACTCCAGCCTCATATAGTCTCTATTCTTATAAGGAAACTGAGGCTTATATGCTACACTGCCCAAATCAACAGCCACAACACACAGCTATTTAAAATACACTTAAAATCCAGCTATTCAGTCACATGAACCATATTTTAAGTTTTCAAAGGCCACATGTGGCTAATGGTTACTGAATGGGATAGCACAGACAAAAATAATAAAAATATAAAAAAACTTGCTGTTATTTATAACTTTAAATTTAGTAAACACCTACAATTAAAGTGGAATGCTTACAAGTTCTGAATATTTAAAATGATCTTTATTCCATTATATTTAAGACTCATATACATAGAAAAATAATAATCTTGAAGAAAAGATAATGCACTATTTAATTATTCTTACTCTTTAAACATACCTTGCTCTCTCAATAGCTTCTGTCCTGTGGACATTGGAGAGCTGACCCAAGCAAAAACGGTCTCCTCCAGAAGGATCCACGTATCCATCCACAGTAACAATAGGGCAGCTTGAAGGGACCTTAAATGTCTCTCCTACCTGAACATCCATCTCAAAGTAAGCAATGGAACACCAATACTCGGGAGCTATAGAAAATAAATGAAAAAGAACATTCATCCATGCTGCAAAGATATTAAAGGGGAGGAAGGTACTTTCATCCACAAAACAAACCTAGACAAAGATGAAGGAAAGAGTTAGAGAAGCACATAAAAGAACTGGATTAAAATAATGTAATACACTTGAAAAATAGTGATTTAATATTTTATTTGCAGCTAGTACTTACACATTGACACCCCAAGGACCAAATCAGCTAAAATTAAAGAACACAAGAAATCAGATCTAGCTGGGCTGTAATGACACACGCCTTTAATCCCAGCACTCAGGAGGCAGATCTCTGTGAGCTCAAGACAAGTTTGGTCTACAGATTGAAAGAAAGAAAAAAAGAGAGAGAGGCAAACAAGCATACTCTGAAACAAACTGTTCTATCACGATAGTTCATTTGATTGCATATCTGTTCTGTTGTCTGAACTTTTGTTTTTGAAAAGTACATTAATCAAAAAAAATTTTAAAAAAAGGAAAGTACATTAATCCTAAGACATAGTCTATGGTATGTTTTTATAGACCCCTAATGAGGAGAAAGCACCTAAATCTGTCAACATACTCCTGCTCATACTTAAGAACTTTGCATAGCTGTTTTACACAGATTCGTAAAAGTCAAAGGTCATTTGCCCAATGTATACATATCCCATTTTTAGAAGTCATTTTAGTGAACTAGTACAATATATTCATTTAAAACAATTATTTTAAATGACGAGCAGGGGCGGGGCGAGGAGAAGAAACAATACTTGGTTTGGATTGCAAATACAGCGAACTATTTCTGATTTTGTTTGCATTATTAAAGAAAGTTTGTATAAATGTAATCTGCTTAGTTTTTCTTTCACAATTTATTTAACAGATATATGCGAACATCTAGGGAATTTTTTTGGCACTGTATGCAAAGCAGCAAACAAAACCATTAACAGAGGTTCCTCACAGAGGTTCCTCAAGTGGGCAAATGAGCAAACAAATGAACATGGAACCCAGGTCAGGAGCAAAACTGCAAAGGTAATTAGAATAAGGGGAGAAGGAAGAGAGGAGTGGAGGATGGGGTGGAGGAGGAATGCTATGGAAAAGAAGGTAACTGGAAGGAACATGTCAGTCTACAAAGTTGAAGGACATTCTGTCTGAAAACTCAAGACCTGAATGAAAGTCCTGTACTGGCCCCAGAGGAAGAACTTCTGAGAGATTAGGAAGTAAGAGTTTTGTCTACAGACTTATCTACATTACAATGTGTTACGTATAATCTGAATCAAAACCTTTCTGCACTCTGAAACAATACTTAGAACAACAAAAACCAGCCCAGACTTCAAGTTCCATCAGAAAAAATGAAGTACTAACACTTAAAACTTTAAAAAGAAATGATGTAAATAAGAGTACTCATAAATGAAATTCTCAAAAGAAAATTTTAATTGAGCCAGGAGTGGTGGACACACACCTTTAATCCCAGCACTCAGGAGGTGAAGGCAGGTGAATCTAGAAGTTCAAGGCCAGCCTGACCTACATAGTGAGTTCCAGGACAGTTGGGGCTATCTACAAAAAATGTCTCAAAAACCCAAATGAAAAAAGAAAATTTTAATTAAAATCAAAGAAACTGAAGAAAGAAAAAAAAAACAACAACACTATATAGGGCTATGATGGTTAGCACTAACTGTAAACAGGATCTACAATCACCCGAGAGACAAAGCTCTGAGACTGTCTATGACAGTCTAAACTGGGTTAACCATATATAATAGGAAGACCCAAGGCCACTTTGGGATGAACAAATAAGAAGAAAGCAGAGCACAGCTACTGTGGTTCCTGACTGCAGATGCAATGCAACCACTCCTAACCCTTCTGCTACACAATAACATCCCAAATGTGACGAATTGTACCCCTGAGCTGAAATTAAACCTTCCCTTCTTATGTCACACATATTCTCGCATAGCAACAAGTAAAACAGAAACACAGAACCAAGAAACAGGGTCACTGCTGTGTTACATTTAACTGTGTGGTTCTTAAGCCTCTGGAACTAACAGGACTGCGGAAGTTTGGAACTCTGACCTAGAAAAGCACTAGAACACTGTAAACAGAGCGTAAGGGGTCATGCTGGTGTGAGTCTGGGCAAGCAGAATGCCAAGAGAAATGAGACAATGGAGGCCAGGCACTCTTTCCAAAAGTGGGTACAGGCCATTCCATATTATAGCTTGTCTAGACGCTGCCTGGATTATGCTTGTGTTCTGTAAAGTTTAGTGAGACCAAGCTTAAAAGTAATGGGCTAATGTAATGGGTGGACGAAGTTTCCAAACAGAACATGTAATCTGCATCATAGTTACTGCTCACAGCTCTCATCCAGGTCTACAGGAAGCACAAAAAGCAGAGCAAGAAAATATGAAAACATGCAACTGCAACAACAATGTGAGCTTGAACCTACAGACAAGTGGCGGCAGCAGCAGTTAATAAAGAGATTAGTCACCCACTTCTCAGCAATGGTGAGCTAGTCTCACCTGTCAGTCAGAATAAACCCTTTCTCCTTTAAGCTGCTTTTTTTTGGGGGGGGGGGGGGTATTTTGCCATAGCAGTAAGAGAAGTAGCTAATATATAAAAGTACCTAATTATTGGGCAAAAACTGTCAAGCGAAAGACTACTTTCTTTTTTTTTTAAATATTTACTTATTATGTATACAATATTCTGTCTGTGTGCATGTCTGCAGGCCAGAAGAGGGCACCAGATGTCACTACAGATGGTTGTGAGCCACCATGTGGTTGCTGGGAACTGAACTCAAGACCCTTGGAAGAGCAGGCAATGCTCTTAACCACCGAGCCATCTTTCCAGCCCTGGAAAGAGTACTTTCCAACGAGGAGTTAGTAAGGCACACAAATACATGCCTATGACGCCAACATTCAGGGAGCTAATATAGAAAGAATGTGAATGAGGCCAGCCTGGAACATAGTGAGTTCCGGGCCAACGTAGACTATACAGAGACACTGGGTCTTAAAAAAAGAGAAAAGAGTAGATAACTCAAAAATGTTTAAAAACTTTGAAACATCAATCCAATAAATTCACTGCAAATATAATTCTTTAAATATGTTTGTTTAGAACATAAAATTATACCTAAATGATTGCTTAAACACCAGTTTTGAAATATTTGTGGATTTTCTTTTGACTTTTCCAGACAGAGTTTCTCAGAGATCTGTCTGCCTTGCCTCCTTAGAACTGGAATTGAAGGTATGTGCCACCACCGTCTGCCTGTGAAGTTATTTTCTATAGTAAAAATCTTTTTTTTTAAAAAAAAAGATTTATTTATTTGCATTTTGTGAGTATGTTTGTCTGCATGTATGTATGTTTATCACATGTGCAGAGCACAAAGAAGCCAGAAGAGTGTGACAGACCCCCAAGCACTGCAGTTACAGATGGCTGAGAGCTGCTACATGGGTGCTGGAAGTCAAAGCAGATCGCAATGTGGAACCATCTCTCCAGCGCCCGTAAGTAAAACCCTTTAATGAAGATATCATATATCATGAACAGTAATAATCAGCAAACAAGCAGCAGTTACTGACTGAAGCTAAAACTGAAGCAATTTTTAAATTACCCAATTTTCTGACAGTAATAAAAACTAGTAGCCCTTACAAGATCTTTGAGTAGGTAATGAAAACTTTGTTACAAATGAATATAATGCTGGGGGTGATATTTCCAAGTACAATGTATTTCCCAGTTACTACTGAAGGCTAAAGCTACATTATAGGCAAGTCAACTTAAAAAGAAATAAAGGGTTTCTTTCCGCTTCCATGTTCAAGAAAAATGAACTTTTATTATTACCAATTGAAATATCTGCCAAAGCACTAAACCTTTCATTACTTCCCTACCAGTAAGTCCCTACCCGTTTAATAATCCAGACATCACACAGTAGCTCTTACGCAGGAGACTCTCACTGACCTGCTGATAGTTGATAGAAGTTATAAACGGCTAAGAGCGAAGAGGAAATTGTATTGGGCTATCCCACAGACCAGCTAGGGTGGGAGGAAAGGAGTCTATTTGTGAAGACACAGGTCAAACGTGATCTACATGGGAGAAAAATCTAACGGTGTTGGGCTATGTACTGCGTAAAACACTTCTTCATTCTCAACAGTCAGAGAAAAGGTTTTATTTAAAAAATATGGAAAGCTAATAGAAAATATCCCTTTAGCCTTTCTGCAAGTCTTTGCTATTTTACCTCAAGAACCAACCACATAAATGACACCTCTGGAGCTTCTCAGGACTAGCACAAAAAGCTGGAAGAGTGCTTCTGTAAAGCCAGCCCAGCTGAGAGGTACCAAGACTGGGCACAGATCTGGTATCTGAAGGGTTTCTGCTTGTAAGTTAGTAAAGCCAACCCTATGAAGTCCACAGGCTGCTATCACATTAGACAGAAAAACAAGTTTTAAAAGAATATCTTAATTACCTGATCTGTAGGTTTGGTTTTGTCTTCACAATGTAAAAACTGAGCTTGCAAAGGGGGAATGGATTGTAAAGCACGGGTCTTACAAATATTGTTCAGTTGTAATGGAAAATGTGTCTCTCCAAAGTACTGTCTTTAATTTCTGAAATAAAATAAGGTAATACAAATCTGATGGACACCTAACGGATTCACTGAATGATTCCTTCCATCACTTAGATCTGAATGTGATGCCCTATAAATCTATTATGAGTGTATGAAAATACTCCTGAAGTTGGTAAAGTTCAAATCCATTTGTATTTGAACACAGCCTAAAGACGTTAAAGAAAAATAATAGTATGACAGAAGAATCTTAGCTTCAAGGAAAAAAATAATAAGAGTAACTCTGTGAGGAACAGAGTGACTGACCTCTTTAAGACTATTTAGGTCGGGTGGTGGCGCACACTTTTAATCCCAATGCTCCATAATCAGAGGCAGGTGAATTTCTAGAGTTTGAGGCTAGCCTGGTCTAAATAGTAAATTTCTGGACAGCCAGAGCTAGAGGGAGAAGAATATCTAACTGATTTCTTTTCTATCTGTTTAATTAGGAAAGCAGATGTGTAAGCTGGCTACTGTAATTCAGTATGGCCAGCACTAGGTATGGGGCACAGACATTGGTATGCTTAAACTATATTTAGGAAAGGAGAGTGAGATGCATGACTCTAGCATGGTCTCAAATGTTTCTTGCCTCTTGATAAGTAACATCTTTGTTTACCTTTCTCTTGGAGTTTCTATTGCTATGAAAACACACAACTAAAAACAAACTGGGGGAAAAAAGGATGTATTTTATCTTACAAGTGTCAAGTCATAATCCATCACTAAGGGAAGTCAAGGAAGAACTTAAGTCGGGAACTGAAGCAGAGCTTACAGAGGAACACTGTCAACTGGCCTGCTCCTCTTATAGCACCCACGGCCACCAACCTAGGGGTGGCACTGCCCACAGTGAGCTGGGTCCTCCCATATCAATCATCAAGCAAGACCTGAGTTCTAACCACTAAAAGTAAAAATGCAGAATTAACCTTTTCCTCCTACAACCAACTGGACAAAAATCAAAACAAAACAAAAAACCCAAAACAAACCACCACCACCAACAATAACAAAAAACCCACAAAAACCCTTTTAGGATGCATTCACCATTAAGACACTTCTGTATTCTATTGAAAGATAGGTATCAATGTCAATACAGGCTGCTACAGATGCATCCTCATGTAATCAATACTACTCTCTAAACATGAGGGGTAATTCAGTCTCATCATCCATTCTACTGTAAGAAGAATGAAGCAAATTTATCAAGAGGTCAAAGGCAATTGCTGAACCTAAATTTAGTCTAGATGATAGCTGACTGCCATATCTATTCTCACTGTACATTCCATTCAATAATAAGTCCATCTATTCATCTTTCTTCCTTTCCTCTTTTTCCCACAAGACAGGATTTCTCTGTGTAGCCCTGGCTGTCCTGGAGCTCACTCAGTGGACCCAGGCTGGCCTTTTCAAACTCAGAGATCCACCTGCCTCTGCCTCTTCAGTACTGGGATAAAGGTGTGAAGCATCACCACCTCTTTTTCTTCAGAACCAGACCATCCTTATTCCTGCAGACCATCTCTACTTTAAAACAAGTACTGACTCTCAAGAAAGCTGCCTCAGAGTCAGCAGAAGTTCTCATTCTTGCATTTCCAAACATAAATTAAGATCTTGATACAATGTGTCCAAATATGAAATGTATTACAGCAAAATGCTCATTAAGAATTACATATACATTAATGAACATCTTAAGACTGGTGTACGATGGTGTCAATAAAGTCATTCTGTCTCTTGATCTAGGAATTAATGTTACTCTCTAATTATAAAGTATGAGAAAAGCTGTATGCACACAGATCATCTACCCAATTACTTTTAGGCAGGTAGGAAAAAAATCTGCAATCGACATAAGTAACGAAAATCCACTTACACAACTCTATAAGCTATCCTTTAACTATAGTTAAGGATGACTGTAGCTATTTTTTTAAGACTTTATTGAAAACAGTTGTCCTATGTCCAAAAAGGGCGGTTCCAGAAGAGCCATCAGACACAAAAATCTGTAGACACTCAGTCTCTTATGTAAAATGATGCCAAATTTGCAAATAATATACAAAAAGGCATATGTAAATCATGAGAATAAATACTACATAGTCTTATATAAAGGACTTGAGTATCCCTAGATCTGAATGTAACTGTGAGTGTAGCTGAAGTGAAAACAATCAGTTATAAAATCAGAATTAGAGAAAGCTCTTGCTCCTATTGTTTGTGTTACAGAGGTGCTTTGACATCTCAAGTTTTCAGGGGGTTTCTGTTTTCCTGCTTCTATAATTTAACACAGTATTTTCTAAATTTCAGTTAGGATCTGCATCTTTCTTTTTTTGTTGTTGGTTTGTTTTCCAAGACACAGTTTCTCTGTGTAGCTTTGGAACCTGTCCTGGCACTCACTCTGTAGACCAGGTTGGTCTCAAACATACAGAGATCTGCCTGCCTCTGCCTCCCAAGTGCTAGGATTAAAGGTGTGCGCCACCACTACCCAGCTGATCTGCATCTTTCTTATAAAACAGTTATTTACAATTATTTTTGGTTTTAACATCTATTTAAGATTCTTCTCTGACCTTTTAATTAAATTTAGCTCTCTCTCTCTCTCTTTCTCTCTCTCTCTCTCTCTCTCACACACACACACACACACACACACACATACACACGACATAACATATATGTGGAGGTCAGAGAACAACTCATGGAAGTCAGTCTCTCCTACCACACGGTCCTGATGGAGGAGGGTCATCTGTCTATGTGTTACTTTCACTCGTTAATAAAGAAACTGCCTTGGCTTTCAGTAGGACAGCAGCTTAGCTAGGCAGAGTAGACAGAACAGGATGCTGGGAGAAAGAAGCAGAGTCAGGCAGATGCCATGGAGTCAGCCGCCAGGTCAGACATGCTGAATCTTTCCCAGTAAGCCACCACCTTGTGGTGCTAGACAGATTATTAGAAATGGGTTAATCAAGATGTGAGAATTAGCCAAGAAGAGGCTATAGATATAAGATATAATGGGCCAGGCAGTGTTTAAAAGAATACAGTTTCTGTGTAATTATTTCGGGGATTAGCCAGGCGGCCATAACTGGGCTGTACACAGCCCGTTTGCCGCTCATCTTTGCAACATGGTCCAAGAGATCAAACGGTCTCATCAAACTTGGCAGCAAGCCACTTCACCCACTAAGCCATCTCACTAGCCTGTTCCCTGTTTTTTTAAGCGATAGCACTGATACTATTCTACTTAAGCTTAGTTTCATTCTGCTGCAATGCTAAAACCTGGCAATTCTGTACTTAGTATCTGATTTGATTTCAAAAAGTTTTTACTTTTCTTTCAGACAGTTAAAAATGAATTAAATATAGTCTGTGTGTGACTATCAGCTACTCTTAAATTTCTGATTAAGTCATAACAAATATTACACTATGAGGTCAGTTACCCATAAAATAATCACTGGCATTCATGTACCAATTATCATAATAAAAATCTACATACAGGGAATCAATACTGAAATATACTTACCAGGATGATTGGAAATGGGAGGCTGGAATGCAAGCTCATTGTGAACTGGCCCTAAAGAAAATATAATAAAAATCCCATTTTACTTATTAAAAGTTTTCCAATGCCAAAACTTAAAAAAACTTTAAATATAAGTATTATAAGTCTTAAGACTGGTTTAGATCAAATTTATGCCATGTTCAAGAATTTAAAAGCTTATTTCCTAAATTTTTTTTCTGATACTAATAAACTAACTTTTAAGTGCTATCTGACACATGCTATTTAACAATTTATAGTCATACATGCAATACTCAATGCAGGCTATAAATTAATTATTCAATTCATGTAACATATTAGTATAATTTATAATGCAATGTATAATGATTTAAATTGCTAATCTATTCTAAAAATAAATGCTTTTATCTATTAAATTAGGGACATTTATGTGATGGATCAATAGCTATTATAACTGAAAATTTATTAGTTAATACATTGTGCTAAAACCCTTACAGAATTACTAAATTCACTTCTTACAATATTGTTTCAAGCAAATGAAATTACAGCCCTTGAGGCTTAATAAGTTTAAATAAGTGACCAGCGATCATAGAGCAAACCCAATACCCTATGTACCGGTCTATTAGAAATCAGATTCTCTGAACACTTGGAAAGACAGTAATGTAACTAATACATAACAATATGCATATAGCATGACCCTCCCCCAAAAATACATATCACACACGCAACACACACACCCATTTATATGACTGGAAGGAAGTAATACTAGAAGTGACTGTGTCTAGGTTACATAAGATTTTAAGTAGTTTTATTATTTATGCCTTTTGTACTTTTCTAGTGTCTTTGGTACTATTGATCATAAAATGAGGAAAGGGGATTTTATATTTATGAAAGATACATATCCCTGATTATTTTCCCTTCATCCCTATACTCAGATTTTAAAATCAAATTAACAATGTTCCTATTCTGCCTGAAACTGGACTGTTTGTAGTGTCCCCTCCTAATCACAACTATTTGGAACATTACTCAACACCTATGATCTACAGTATCTACTGCATTGATTCTATGGTGAGTACTCAAGGCTCCAGTTGACTGCGGGCAAGAACACACAAGACCTAAACCACATATAAAGCGAACAAACGAATGAAATCGATGTGGTGTTGATGAACCATCAGCACAGACAAATGAATGTACTCAGCGAACATCAGTGCAAAACAAATGTGTGAGAACCATTTAAAGGAACTCTTTACAAATACTGAAAAAGTAAAAACACTAATAGTTTAATGAAATTAAATTGTAAGATGAATAAAAGATGCAAAACCATTTTTTAAGAAAATAGAAATTAAAGTCCTAGCTAGAAAAGAAAAAGACCCTGCTTACAATGAAAACAAGAGCTTACAGTAATGTCCAGGATGGGGCGGCATAGGCGGGTGGTGCTGAAGATGGCCGTTTTGGTGGTGAGGCAAATTAGGTGTGTATGGTGCAGTCCTACTTCCAGTCCAGGTGGTAGTGCTGTCTAAAAATTAAGGCCCATATGCATTAATTTGCTTGTATAAAGGCTGCCTAGTTTTTTTCTCAACTACTTAAAAGGTTTTAAAAAGCATGTACATACTATGATGGTAAGTAGCTGGCTGACCAGTAAATCCATTCTGCTGCTGTCCTGGCTGAGGCCCTGAAGCTATCTGCAACAGTCCTTCACTATGGCTGCCTGCCAGGATACTGGCCGGCTGACCTAGAGAAACAAGAAGACATTAACATGGCATATGTATAGATGCAATTTCACGCTATTATACAAAAATGAAGGTCTAATTATGTCTGGTAACCCACAATTATAAAGGTGGGCCAAAAGTGGAACTCACCCATTGCCTATCAAATAAAAAAGCTAAAAGCATTTATAAAGGAAAACCTTCAGAAATTATTTAAAATGTCTTTTTCTTAAGAAATGTTTTCCTGGGGCTGGAGAAGTGGTTTAGTGGTTAAGAGCACTGGCTGCTCTTCCAGAGGACCTGGCTTTCATTCCCATCACCCACATAGTGGCTCACAACCATCCATAACTTCAGTTTCAGGGACTCTGATGCCCTCACACAGACATACATACAAACATGCAGGTAAAACACTAGTGCACAATAAATGAAATTTTATAAAAAGAAGGAAGGAAGGAAGGAAGGAAGGAAGGAAGGAAGGAAGGAAGGAAGGAAGGAAGGAAGGAGAGAGGGAAGGAGGGAGGGGGAGGGAGAGAGAGAGAGAGAGAGATAGAGAGATGTTTTCCTAACATTAGTGGCCTATTTCTTCACAGGCCCTCTTCAAATGCTAAGAAACACATGACACATCTAGGTTACCGCAACAGTTTTAGAAGCACTTCACCAGACCATGATGGACTTCCCTGATCTGGATCTCCAAAACCCAGGCAAGAAAATGTTGGCAACAGAAAGTTAATTATCATGGCACTGGTGCTGATACTGGCAAGACAGTGGCTTTAACAACAGTGAAAAGCACAGAGGCAAGTGTTTTAAATGAATAGGATGGCAAGGGTGAGAAAGTTAACATAAAGTACAACAAAACAACCTGCTCCACTGTCGAACCAATACAGCATTTGGTAAAACAATAAAACCTGTTCATCAATTTTGAAACTTTTTCCATGTTCTTTTTAAAAAAATCAGAATCATGTCAATAAAGTCACTGTATGCCCAGATTTGCATCAAATCAGTTGCTCCCTCTGTAATACGCCAAGAAAATGGTTTCATTTGACTCAAAATATATTCCATTATGTTTTATTATTTGCCATTTATAGGTTCTATTTTGTAGGTGGAAAAGGCTATTTCTTAGAGCGAGCATTTGCCATGGTCACTGTATTTGGAGAAAACTGTAGTTTCTTACTGCCATCTGTCAGTGTCACTGGGTTTCTCTCCTCATAGTGGGTGCAGTCAGAGGAAGAAACTCCAAGTCATCACAATCTAAACACCAAGAGAAGGGACTTGCCAGGCAGAGTGGCATGGCTAGCAACTCCAGCAGGAGAAAAGCTAAGCTTGAGGAACTCAAGGCCAGCTGGGCTATAATGTAAAGCTCCTGTCTCAAAACCAGAAACAACGAACAAGGCACATTTCTCCTCCTACACAGCATAATTCCTTAAACCTAGGACCTGCAAAACCACTGTACTCCTCTACACTGAGAATCACCACCACGAACCAAGTGTGTAAGATGTTAACAATGTGAAACTAGCTCGTGTAAAACATTCCTCTATTTTACTCTAATTTTTTCTTTCCTTTAACTCTATCAATCATTTTAAAAATAAGGAAAACTTTCACCACAAATTCTAAAATCTACAATATTTATATTTCAGTTATAAAAAATATACTTTAAATTAAAGTATTAAGACAGAATTGGATATATTTCATTCACATCTTTTTTTGGCCTCCAAGAACAACTCTTCCTGCAGGGAGGGAAGGAACAAGTCAAAATGAAGTCATGTTGGAAATACCTGAACAAAACGCAGTCTCCAGAGAATGTAAGACAGAAGTGCATGCCTGGCCCAGAAGTAATCTACACATAAGTGAATGAATGCATCTATATTATTTTTCATCTCCACCATTGTCAACCATACTCCAAATAAGAAAATAAAGACAGGACAGCCAGAGATGCAAGCAAGGTCCTATACTGCATACACGTAATCCCAACATTTCAGAGGCTGAGACAAGGAAATCAGAAGTCCATAGCCAGCCTGGCTTATGGAGTGAAATCTTGTCTCAACCCTCCCCACAAAGGTATATACATGCACATATATATCAAATGTGCATAGAAATTATCTGTGCTAAGATTGTACCACTGAAAAAGACTGCTTTCAAGTGGTGAAATGGACTAATGAGAAATTCTGAAAACAATTACAGGGCCAGACACATAGTTCAGTGGTAAAGTGATTGCTTATCATGCTTATCAGGGGTAACACAGTGGCTCGGATTCCCAGCACTAGGGGAAATGTCAGGGGGTGGGATGGGAGTAAAACAATTCAGAAATAAATCTAATTATCACAAAGATTAAAATTTCAATGTTGAGTCTAAACTGATATGAACAAAGCTACTCCATTGTTAGGTAACAACAAATATCCATCTGTATCAGTCAACTATCCCTTGACAATCTAGGTTTAAAAACAATGTTCTTAAGTAATCAAATAAATTATTACTATTTGTATGCTTGATAATATTTAAATGTAAAATAAGAATAATAATTAGGGCTAGAAAGATGTCTCAGCAGATAAAGCACTTGCCCTGCAAGCATGCGGACCTCAGCTCTAAACTATAAACCTAGAAAAACTGGACAGACACAATAGTGTGCATCACTAACTCCTCCTATGAGATGGGAGGTTGAGACAAGAAACCCCTGCCCACTGGCCAGAGAGCCTGGCATATGCAGCCGCAAACAGTAAGGGACCCTGACTCAAGCAGCTGGACAGAGAGGACAACAACAAACTCCGCATGTACACCACAGCACACATGCCAGCACTCACACATACTCATTAACTCTTTTTTTTTAATTTTTTTAATTAAATAAGCAAATTACTTTGCAAAGCAAAGCTCAACTTTTGGAATTGTAAAAGCAAATAACAATACAAACAAAACCAGATCCCACTGTCTTTATTAGGGTCCCAGAAAAGTTGAGCTTGGGCTGGGGATACAGCTCAGTGGCCAAGGGTTCACCTGGAATGGGAGAGGTCCTAGCTTCAATTGATATGATCAAGAAACAAAGACAGGAAAAGAAGGAAGACAACAAGAACAGAATGCAGAATGAGAACCCCCTATGACATCCTTTTCAAAGATGTGCGTGCATGTTAGCTTTATTCTGAAACTGGTTAAAATACTTGATGCCTTCCTGGGGCCACAAATAGTAAAAGCAAGTCTTTTTAAGAGCCTTTTTTTCAAGTAGTCACAATAGGAAATTGAGAAGCTATTATAAAGTTACCCTCTCAGACAAAATAATGGACTACAAGAAAGGTTTTGGTTTATAAACACCTTGGTTCAAAGCTGTTTGCTGGGCCAGTGATAGAGATGGCTCAATAAGGAAAGGGCCTTGCTACACAAGTTCAGTGGCCTGAATTTGATACCAAAAACTCATGTAAAGATGGAAGGAGAGAAAAGACTCCACCAAGTTGTACTTAGACCTCCACAAACATACCATGGCCCACATGTACACACAAACATGGGCACACATATACACAAACAATTACACACTCATACATATAATAATAAAAAATTACTTGTTAACTACTTAAATATTTCTCTAAAATCTATCTGAAAAATCAGGAGACTTCTGACTTATGCAATGTAATAACAGTATAATCAAAGTCATTACATTTGACTGTATATCAACATTAGAAATTCTAAACAAATTATAAACACCATTTTCTCCAGAATGAACTCAAATCCCAATTCAACATATCTCCCTGTGGGCTGAGTGGTATGGCTCAGGAGTGAGAACTCATCTAGTTCACATCTGACCCTGACACCGTACCCAGCACCATAAAGACCACAACAAGTTTTTACTTACTTGGGGTTTCTCCAAGTGACTACACATAAATATTCAAAGGTTAGGAAAACTTACAATTGTATTGAACTGCATAACTCACTTGTGGAAGCCACAGGAATGTTGGGGAAGTTGGTGGTACTGGTGGCATTGGACTCAGATGGGGCTAGCAGAGCTGGGGCACTGTATGTCTCTGTTGATGCACGATTACTTGGTGGATGTTGGATGGTTTGAATTGAATGTCCTTCAGTGGGCAAGGATGGCTGTCCCTCAAAGTCATGAACGTATTCATCCTTCACTAACATACTTGGTGGAGCTATGAGAAAAAAACCACATTTAAATATTTTACATTCTTCTATTTCCACAAAACTATATACAAATAATATGACAACATCTAAAATCAACTAAGTATAAATAATTCAAATTCAGAAAAATTTCATATTATAAAAAAGCATAGTTTATCAGCTATAGTAACTTTAGAAATTTTTTTATCAATTATGACTCTCTGATATCTGAAGAACTATTCTTCAGTTTCCTGACAAACCTAGAAGTGCATAATCATCTAAATAAGTAAAAACCAAATGCCTAGCAAAACATTCACTCAGCTGTGAACACCACTGACTCCTCAAGACAAACTGAGACTACATACTTGGCTCTGCCTTTCTGAACTTCACAATGTACAGAGATAGAAGCGGGATCTAAAAGGTACTTAACACCAAGACCTGGAGTTATTTATTATTTGAAACTGCTGTCCTGAAATGCCCCCTTAAAAAGTCAAACAAAAGCCAAATGTAGGGTGTTGGCCTATAATTCAGCATTCAGGAGACAAGCCAGGAAGATCACAAGCCATCAAATTGAAATTTTCTTTATGGAATCCCAATCTACATAAAAATGTTTGATGACAACTGTCAATAATTAAACTTTTCAGACTTTAAGGAGCATAAGGAACATAAAGTAGTATCTTTGATAAACTAGGGGTCGATTTGCTTTGCTCTATTTTCGTAAGGGAAATTGAACAGTGTCCCTATCAGTTCTCTGTTCAGAGCCTTCTCATATGGTCTATCTGTAATAAAACCATCTTTTCATCTTTCTGAACACTTGTAGGTAACTCAAGTTTTACAATCACTGAATTCTAGTATTAGGTATCTTCTTAGAGCCACCAAGGAAAGGCCACAAAGACATTCTCTTCAACTGAAAAACTAGTGTGTCATTTTCCTTATCCAGTTTTTTTTTTCTTATTAAATTGTGACTTCTAACAGTAGAAATATTCCATATTTGTTCAAGCTTCTGCATACAACCTCTTTTTTTGACTTCTGGAAACATGAAAACGTTGTTATTTGTGAAACTCTTATGTTCTAGTAAGAAGTGGAAAGATGGCTCAGTAGTTAAGAGAGCAGCTTGTTTATACCTAGTTTGGTTCCCAGCACCCCATGTCAAATGGCTCATAACTTTCTATCACTCCAGTTCCAGGGTAACCAATACACCTTTGGCCTCAAGGGCACTGGCACACATGTGCACAAATCCACACAGAGACACAAAAATATGTACATAATTAAAAAATAAAACAAAGTAACTTCTAAGAGAACCAATACAATAATAAAAAGATGCTTAACACATTATCATGTATCAGTATGTTTGCAAGAAATAATTGGAGTCAGAGTGGCACAAATGTTTTCAGAGTAAGCAATAATTTTTTTGAAAATATTTATTTATTTATTATGTATACAATATTCTGTCTGTGTGTATGCCTGCAAGCCAGAAGAGGGCACCCGACCTCATTGCAGATGGCTGTGAGCCACCATGTGGTTGCCGGGAATTGAACTCAGGACCTTTGGAAGAGCAGGCAATGCTCTTAACCACTGAGCCATCTCTCCAGTCCTAAGCAATCATTTTTTAAAATTGGATTTAAGGCCCATTCCATGAGATGGAACCCATACCTGACACTGTTAAGGTGGCCAAAAACTTGAGACCAGGTAGTTCATAGGTTCTAGAGGAAACTTAATACTATTCTTCTGCTACAAGAACACGGCAACAAAAGTACTCCTAATGGCATACTGCTATACTCATAGATCAATTAGTGCATCACTCAGCCCTTATCAGAGAAGCTTCCCTTGCAGTAGGTGGGAATTAACAGAGACTCACAACTGGACAATGTGCAGAGACTCAAATGAGCTATCTAAACGAGGTAGGGAGGAGGGTAGGATGCAGGAGGAGTTAGGGAAGGAGAAGTAATAAAAACAAAATATACTGTATATAAAAAAGAATTTTAAATAAAAAAGTTGACCCTAAATACTCACTAATGTTGGGAAAATTATAATAAACAAAATCCTGTTCAGAACACACACCAGTATAGGTGCTAACCTTTTCCGTTTGCTTGTTTGTTTTTATGATTAGTCTAAATCTTCTGGATTTTTCTTCATAAAGATCTTGGCAATATCTATTTAATCATTTATTTAATTTAATGGGCCATCTAATTAATGGCATCTCTATTCAATTTTTTGTTGCTGAAGAGACTGAGATCCTTTAACCTGCTGGCATTACAAATACAAAAGGGAGCAGCTGTGAACTTGACAGCTGCATGGTTGAATGTGACATCACAAGAGTCAACTGCTGTGTACTTTAAATAGCTATGCCTCCCAAGGTTTCCTTCCCTTCACATGTCGACTAAACTTCCCAAAACAGAAGTTTAGGACGTGGATTTTTCAGCTTCTTAAGTCTCCACCTACTTTGCAATGGATCTCTTTCTCCATCTGCCTACAGCGTGTGTTTCCTCACTCCCAACAAATACCTTTCTACACCTGCGATTCTGTCTGCTGATGTCTGTGGTATTGAGATTCCCCCACTGTCATCCATTGCACTTGATCTTTCCTGTCTTTTAATTCTTTAACTGCCAGAGAAAAAGAACAAGATACCTAGAGTGTACTACTGGGACCTCATCTTGGGATTTCTTCTGAGTATATATAACAACTCATCAAGAAAGAACATTAAGAAAAAGTTCCCAGAGCCAAGTTCCTCCATCAGACAAAGGCTATCTCTATCCCTTCCACTGAGTGAGGAAGAATCCTACCTCCCTGAGAACCAAGGTGCCTGGGTGTACATCACTGAGAATGTCTTCATGGGCTCCCATGTTTAACCTTATCCTCAAGGTCCATGGAGACGGCACTGCAGCCAGACTACCCTGAGACAATGCACCTCAGATTACAAATCTCAGGAGTCTCTCATGATCACCAAGTCAGTCTAGGAGTACACACTCAGTCACCCGGTCTGATGTGGTCACCAACGAGTTTCCTCAATCTCCCACAAGTTTGGCTCACTTGAAGCAATGGTGCAATTCTTGTGGTAATATATCAGTAAATAGAACCGCTGTCTTCACATGTTAACCATTGAGGTAGCTGAACTTAAGAACCAAGTTCCAGACAAGGGGTGCTTCATCCAAAATATCAAAACCATGACAGGAAGGATTAATCAACTTGTGTCTGATGTTGCCCAGCTGCTTATTAAGTACAAGCATATAAAGGTCATCACAGGACCTGCAACATCAACACTAGGTGCTGCAGAGATACATTTCCAAAAACATAAACATTCACCTCCAGGACTTATTTTGAGTTAGAATTAGAATTAGAATAGCATGGAGCTATGGGTTTCAATAGTCCTGTTTTTTCTATTCCTAGTTATGCAGAGGCTGCAGAGGCTACAGAGGTTGAATAGGAAGCCCCATGTCCTCATCAGGTGACAGGAGACCATTTTCAAGAAGAACTAACAAGTCTACTCCTTGTCAACCTAACACACAATCACATCTCCTTATATCATGCTTAATTTCCAAATAAAAACAATAAGCAGGTCATAATTTTGCCTAACATGATATACTATCCCACTTACAATTAAATGTATTATAGACTTTAGGAAAGGTGACAATATTTTGAAGGACACTCTTGTAGTATCTCTAATACGATTAAGCACTGAAATATTATCCCAGCTGAGAAGAATACAATCATCCTCTACTATAGGGTAAGAAATAAGAGAAAAGAAAACACAAATATCTGTACAAACATTTTTAACAAAATATGACAGAAACACTCATGTCAATTATAAACTTCATTTCTACTTCTGGTCACGTGGCCTTAGCTGCTATTTTTAACTACCTTCCTCTACCACCCATTCTGTAATCCTTCACCTTTCATCCTCCTTCAGCAAGCACCTCAACAAGTCTTGGCTCTTTTCTTGGGGAAGTGAGCCATACCTTCAATCCTGAAGGGTCTATGCCCTTTGTCATTCTGCCTGTGAGTAGGTTGTTATAATTTCCCATTGTTTTTAATCACAGAACACGGTAACAGCAAGAGACCCTCTAAAGGATCTCCTGCACTCCAGACATAATCCTGCTTACCTCCATTGTGGAAAAGGAATCCAATTCCCCTTTGGTAGTCTGGATCAGTCACCCATCCTAACAATGTTATTCTTTTTTTTTTAGACGGTAGGTTTAAGGACATGAGATCGCAAAAATAGCTAGGAGGAAGTCTGAGCTTACAGTTTGGTAGAACGTTTGTTTTATCTCCTGGCAGGAGCACTTCCCCTGGGTCCAAAATTTCTAAGTCAGCAGAACAGGACAGGAAGCAAAACTTTCCTAGTGGATCACTAGGGGTGACAGTGAGAAGAACTATTCCCTTTCCCATCCCCTTAAGACCTAGACCCATGAATCCTGGCTATGGGAAAAACTTTATCACATATTTGATGCTAATTCAAAAGATATGCTAATTTCTAGAGAACCCTGCCCCAGTCCCTCAGGCTACCACCACCTAACTGGCACTGTAACCATGTCTCAAAAGACTGATCCATTCTTCTATCAGGCCAGCTACTTCAGGACGGTGGGAAACAAGGCAAGACAGATGGATTCCATGACCACGGGCCCACAGTCACAGAGAAGTGAGTTCCCTGGTCAGAAGCAATAGTGTATGAAATAACATGATGGTAGATAAGACATTCTTTAAGTCCATGGATGGTAATGTTGGCAGAAGCATTACAGGCTGGAAACAGAAATCCACAACCAGAACAAATATACATTCCAGTAAGGACAAACTTTTGTCATTTCCATGAAGCAATTCTGCTTCCTTAAACCCGTGAACTGTGATGAGTCAGAGTTCTCTAGATAAAGAAAACTAACAGAATGACTGGAAAAAGAAAGAAATGTGTGTGTGTGTGGCTTTATTAGAGTAGCTTACAGGCTGTGGTCAAAAAGTCCAACAATGGCTGTCCTCCAAAGGACAATCCAAGAATCTAGTAGGTGCTCAGCCATAAGGCTCAGTGAGTTAATTGGTCTTCAGTACACATGCCTGAACTCCTGAGTGGCTGTAATACTAATGAAGGAAAAAACGTGCCAGTGAGAGTGAGGGCAAACAAAGCAAAATCTTCTTTATTCCATGTTTTTTTACAAATCTGTGGCCCAGGTTTAAGGTGACTCTTCCAACCTCAAGTGATATGGATTTAAGGCAGATTTTCCTACCTCAAATGAGCCAATTAACTGAAAGTCCCACAGGTGTGCCCAGCTGCTTGGATTTTTAGAGAATTATAAATACAGACAAGTTGACAACAAAGAATAGCCACCACACATACCAAATTATAAAATATTTTTCTTTCTTAATTTATATTCAACAAATTCATTTAGTGAAAAAATATGTATTGCGTATACATGTTCTACATATTATTTTAACAAATGGGATATATCAATAAAAACAAATATGACTAACTTAACGGTGCCTCAGTTTCTGTAACACTTTTCTGTTGTGTAATATTCCATAGCAAACCAACATTACTCTAACTCCTAGTTGAGCAAGTTCCTTGATCTCTAGGCTCATGTCTCCTAATCTAAAGAAGTGAACATAATCTCACCCACCACAGAAAGCATGAAGTGGACAATGATATAATACTCATTGTGGTAGCTTGAATAGGCATGGCCCCCATAGGCTCATATATTTGAGTGTTTGGTCATTAGGGAGTGGTACTACTTGAGAGTGATTAGGAGGTTTGGCCTTGTTGAACTAAATGTAGCTTTATCGGAGGAAGTGTGTCATTGGTGTGGGCTTTGGGGTTACAAAATCTCAAGTCAGGCCAAGCATCACTCTCTCTCCCTGCTGCTTTTGGGTCAGGATGTAGAACTCTTAAGCTACTATGAATGCTTACATAGTGCCATGCTCCTTACCATGAGGATAATGAACTAAACCTCTGAAACTATAAGCAAGCCCCAATTAAAATACTTTCTTTTATAAGAGTTGCCATGGTCACAGTGTCTCCTCATAGCAACAGAACACTAAGACAGTCATAAACCACTTAGCTCAGTACCTTATACAAAATGAGCATTCAATAACTGTTAGCGATTTTAAAGCATATTTTTAGAGTAGTCATAAGAATATAAAGTTTTGCATGAGAGGTAAATAGTGAATTCTCCATAGGTGAGAAGGACTAAGCTTAAGCCACTGGGCACTCTGCCACTGCCACAGGCAAGCCACTTACCCGCTAGCAAGCCACTCTCTGCTAACTTTCTCCTCCCTCCAAAAGACTCTGAACTCTGACTGGAAGAAACACACCATGTTTTTCTTAATATCCCTAAACCTTAGCACAGTACCAGGCAATAATAAACTCACTAAATATTTGAACAATGAATACATGGGTCGGGGTGGTCAGAGTTCCATGAAAAAGATGAGCTGTGCTGGACAACCACAAGATCCCAGCTGACAAGTGAAGGAAGGGTTCTGTTTTTCTCAACTTTTCATTATTCTACTATTATTGTTTTGTCCAATTCAAAAATGAAATCTTGTTTTCCAAGCAAATAAGCCAGCAAGACGGTCTACAAAACTACCACTAGGGGGATCCACAAGGCTGACGATGGCCTTAGTGTTTCTGAAGAATATCAACCCACAACCCGGATGTGGAACCTCACAACTAATCCATATTGAAATTCTAAAATTATCACTACAGTTTCCTAAACCCTAATTTCCACTGAGTAAATTCATTAGATCACAAAAACAGTGGATGGAGAACGGTGACAACTGCCGAGTGTTTGTTTACAACACATCCTGTGCGGGCAGAGGCAGAGTTTCAGCAACTCTAAAGTCACCGTTCCTAGACGACCACAATTCCCGCTACTGCCAAACAGTTCTCAGGAACCAGTAAGACAATAACAACAACAACACCCCTTTATTACCAGGCACATTTAACAACTTAAAGTCATGTGGTGTTTCTGGCCCACCTCTGAGAGTCTAAAGAATGAAACACCATACTACCACCTGCCTGCAGAACAAGTGTTCACTGCTTTAAGGTAACAGTGGTTCTGTACCAGAGCATCTCCACAAATTATAGATTTTTTTTCAGAGATTTTAGTTTAATAGGCTCTAAGTTATTAGAACTAAAGATTTAGAGAATTCCATTTTCACCCCAAAATTAAAAGCAAGGGGATTTTCACACCTGAAAACATTTTAACCTTTGGTTTCACTGAAATACTTTTTCAAAAAGTATTTTCAAAAAGTATTAATATGCATAATTTAAAAACATCATCAGTATTTTCATTCATGAAAGTAAATTAGGGTGAAATGAAGAAAAACTAAAATAAATATCTTGTAAGATATGATACACACAATTTCAAATTACCACACTCTACAGTCGCTGACACCCATTTACACTTGATTTTCTTACAAAGAACTATTCCTTTAACCATTAAAAACCTGTCCAAACTGACCATTAATTAGACTCATGTCCTGCTGTATGCATCCATCACACTTAAAGATTTTAACTCCCGAGTGGCAGTTCAAACTCAAAGAGCCAAAGCCAATTTAAATCTAGTATTACTGGGCTCCAGAGAAGGTTCGGCCGCTAAGAGCACTTAGATGATGCAGATTCAATTCCTAGCACCCACAGAAGAAGCTCACAACTATCTGTAACTCTAATTTCAGCAGATTTGATATCCCTTCTGGTCTCCACAGGCACCAGATACACACAAACACACAGTAGACAGAAATACATGCAGGCAAAACACTCAGATGCATAAAATAAAAAAATTTAATAAGCCAAACTTTTAATGTTAATATATACCTCCCTACAAAATCTATGTGTTCAGAGCAGCAATTTTCTTGTTAGTGTTATTAGCTCCTACGCAAACCACTTGTTTGTGAACAAAAAATAAATTAAGACATGATACAAGAAAATAAAAAAAAGTTACAGGAAATCAGCTACTTACCATTACTCTGCAGTGTTAATCCTGAGAGATCTTATTTTAGGGGAAAGAAAATAAAACATAAATCATTACTATGAACAGATCTTCCATTACATATAGAACATCAATGTAAGCCAGAGATTACCAAACTTCATGAACCATTTCAATTTAAAAGTAGGGTTGATCCTAATTTATGTGTGTGTGTATGTATAATTTAAACTATATGTATACATATATATACATGTATGTATACATATGTATACATATAGTTTAAATTTATAATGTTTCCCATTTTATCTTCAACAACAATGTAAAAAGTAGGCAGAGTATCAATTTTATATACTCAATTCTAGAACTCAAAACCACAAATTTAAGTATTTACATCTCATCTAAATTATCTGAATCTTAAGCCAAGCATGGTGCATACCTCTAATTCCACTACTCAAGAGGTTGAAGAGGAGATCAAGAGTTATCCTTAGCTACACAGCCAGCTCTTGGCCAGCCTGGGATGAGACCTTGTCTAAAATAAAATTTTAATTCTGATTCTTTAACTTTATTTGAAGTCTTAAGTAGTCCTCAAATACAAGTTTTAAACTAGGAAAATTAAAATATTGCTAGGATCTTTTCCCTTTATAGATCTATGAAGGTTCTGCAAAGACAGTCAACTTACCAATTCCAGGTGACACAACGCGTTCATAGTGATAGGGATTCACACAGACACTATCACATTTTAAGTCAAATGCATACTGACAATATTTAACATGTTTTAATTCATTCTTGTGTAGATCAGGCCACCTCCATAGACGGGCATAGATCACATGAGGAAATCCTTTCCGACCAGCCACCTGGGAAAAGAAACCATCATTTATTAAGTATCAGTTTTGTATTATACATTACACAAGGGATTTAAAAAAATGCTATTTAATTTTCAAATTCTACAAAGTCAGCATCTGTAATACTGCAAACATACACATGGTTTTGCTCATATTTCCTTTTATAAAACTAAAATCTTGGGCTTCTAAAAATGATATCCTTCTGAGTGTATCCATGTGCTATTTTTTTTTGAAGTATGAGCTGACTGAAGGCTACAGCTCACAAGTACCTTTAGGATGGGGGCTGATAACAGAAAGGAGAGAGGCAGAATTGGGAAGCTGGAACTTTAGGCCCAACCCCCGTGGAAGGGAAAGAGGCTATTATGTAGAGTTGATCACAATCAATGACCTGAAAGGGGAAAAAAGAAAGACACAAAGAACTGGGTTTGGATACTTTGGGATGGCTGAGCACGTGGAGGTCCCGGAGGTTGGTCTACCTTCAGAAGGCATGGCAGTTTACCTTGCCTGTGCAGCTTTCAATCTGTGGCCTCTGCAATACCCTTCATAATGATAAACAAGGTTCCCTCAGCCACAGCAGACGCTTGACTAAATTAACTGACCCATGGGTGGGACTGTGGGAACCCTTCATAGACGACGGAAAGAAGCACAGGTAAAACAACCAGACGATTATGATTGGCATCTCCAAGTAGACCGTGTCAGAACTGAACTGAATTAGAGGATGCTCAGGTGCTACCTGCCTGCCCGCTTATTTACCAAGATAAAAGAAACCTTCACACCTTTGAAGGTCACAAAAAAGATAGGCTGGAGCATACTTATAGTAAGGAAAACTGGTTTGAGAGTTCCACTTCCCACCCCACCTCCACTGCCAATGTCAGATCATAACCATTCCTTTCTGAGAATCCAAAGCTCAAAATAACTAGAGCAAAGGAGAACACACCTGTAATCTCAGCACTCAGAAGCTGAGGTGGGGATAAAAAACCCTCAAGTTCCAGGTTAGGCCAGGCTACAATAGATAAATAACCTAGTCAGGATCATAGAGAGAATTTCAAGACTTGCACTCGGGTTTTTAAAATGCAAAAACTATGAATTTGTCATAAACTATGCCTAAAATGTAGAAATAAAATTTTAAAAATCTAACATCACTTTTTTTATATACTTCTTCATTCAAATGATATTGCTTTACATAAAAAAATGTGACCACTGAACGTTTCATACCAATGGAAAATATAACATACCGAGAATACAGGAGTCCAACGTATCAGTTTGACCATTTACAATACCAAAAGAGGTCGGCAGATAGGGAGAGTGTTAACTATGATGATGAATACTAAAGAGCTAAAGGTAGTTCTCAAGATACAGGGCTTCTCATTTATTTTTCAAATGTTCTTCGCTGAACTACTCTGAATAAGAATATAAAAAAATTAAGATCCATCTTTTATGCATTCTTCCACATACTCTCATAACACACACTGGCAACAGATGCACTGTATGTCAAAAGACAGACCTATGGAGCTTGAGAGATAGCCCAGCATTAAGAATACCTGATGCTCTATTATGAGGAGCAGAATTTGATCCCAGCATCTGGGGAATGCTCTTTTCTGCCCTCTTCCAGTATCTGTACATACACATATGTAAATACACACACAAGTAATAAAAAGAAATCTATAAATCTATAAATACATAATATACAAATAAATAAATATACAATGAGATGAAGCTCACATTAAATTTGTAAGAACTTAAGAGGAAATTTAAAAATACCAATTACTCTACTAGCACAGAAGACAGAAAGCTCTGAGGACTAACCTGAAGCCGTCCATCCAGTGTTCTCTGTATGGTGACACATTTGCTAGGATGAGCTCCATTTGTAGTTATAGCGGTTATTAAGGAATCCAATTCATCTTTTTTCTCTTTCAGCTTCTTTACCAAACTTTCAATCGCTCTTTTTGCAAACGTTTCGCTTTCTCCACCTTGTCTATGACACATCAAACTATGTACAATGCTCAGGCAGGCATCATTACTTGTTGGTGTATTAGTTATAGACATATTGTCCATTTGTTTAAGTTTTTTCTTTTAAATCAAACTCTCCAATTTCTGGAGTAATTCTGATCTTGTGAAGGCAGTGTAAACCAATAGCCAATGTTGCAAGAAGAGCTGTCAGACATCTGGTGAGCAGGGTAATCTGAATGAGAGAGAGAGGAAAGAGAATATATTTCACAAGGTAGATGCAATTACTTGGGGGAAAGAACTGTTCCACTTAAGTCAAAGGACTCAACACTCAGTTTTAAAAAGTGTTTAAAGTGTGTAACAGCTTAACTATAAAATGTAGCTAGTTTTGATATTCCAAAATCATTAAAAAAAAAATCAGGCCTTCTCATTAATGCAAAGGCACACTAAGTCAAGTTTACCAAACGTACCATTACCCCAAATCTTTACTTAGTTATTTCTACACCCTTTCTATTTTCTATGCCAGTGTTGCAATTTTGAGCCTTTTTAGAATTCATACTAATCACTTCCTCTAAAGCAGTGGTTCTCAACCTTCCCAGTGCTGCGACCCATTAATAGAGTTCCTTGTGTTGTGGTGACCCCAATCATAAAATTATTTTTACTGCTACTTCATAATTGTAATTTTGCTACTATTGTGAATTGTAATGTAAATATCCGATATGCAGGATATCTGATGTACAACCCCTGTGAAAGGGTCACTTAATTCAAAGGGGGTCGTGACCCACAGATTGAGAACCATTCTCTGGAGTCATTTCTTAAACGTCTTTCAATTTATATCCCTACATAAAGAAGCAAATTTTCAAGTGTATTAATAATCATCACTTATCCATATGTTTAAATACAAATAAAAAAAGATGGGGAAAGTTTGTTCTTGTTTTGTTGTTGTTTTCTGAGACAGGGTTTCTCTCTGTAACAGCCCTAGCTGTCCTGGAACTAGCTCTTGTAGACCAGGCTGGCCTCGACCTCACAGAGATCTGCTTGCCTCTGCCACCCAAGTGCTGAGATTAAAGGCATGTGCCACCACCGCCTGGCAGATTTGTTTTTGAAACAAGGTTTTACTCTACAACCCAGGCTGGCCTGGAACCCACAGCAATACCCCTACATCAGCCTCCCAAATGCTGAGATCATACCCAGCTAATAAATAGTCACTGAAGGTACACTTTCCAGATAAAGATTATTTGCACATGGGTAGATGGAATCAGAGACTGGATGAGGATTCCAGTTAAACTAAGAAGTCAGGAACTTCTGAATCTGGAACTAAAAGGAGAAACTCGAAAGAGACAAGGCAATATGAAGTATGCTGCATACAGCATTCAGTATGGCGTACTTACTGTCTGAATCCCAAGACATTTTTTAAAGGATATTATCCCAAAACACGTTATACATTTGTCTCCATTTTCTCCTAATAATACATACCATAGAAAATGTAAGAAGGCAATGACAGAAGTAAGTCACTACAGTTCAAAGGCATGCAGGAGGTTAGGTAAAAGGACAGCTCACACCCATCTGAACTGGAAAACTATTATCTGCTTCCAGAAGTGGCACTTGCTACTAGACTGTGAACTTAAAAAATGAAAAATGGCTATGTACTCAGTGTGCAAAGTCTTATTTTTAAGTAATGGTGATTTATTCATGGAGAAAAGAAAGGGAAACGTAAAAGAAACTACTACATGGTCAAAAATGAAAAGGAAAACAAAACAGTAAACATAAATCTTCGTTAGGCATAGTAGTGAACGCCTGCAATCCCAGCTACTTCGGAGACTGAGACAAGAAGATCATAAAATTCAATGGACACGCGCGCGCGCACACACACACACACCCCTCTTTCTTAAGGCTAGGAAATAGCTGGGTAATAAAGTGCCTGCTTAGCATATGAACACGCAAGAGTCAATCTTCAGACTGGAGGAAGGGGAACCCTCCATCTGACCCGATATCTCTCGCTGCCACAGTTTATTCTTGTATTACAAGCATCTGTTGTAGAGCTTTGAGGAATACGCCCCATAGACTCACATATTTGAATGCTTCATCCACAGAGTGAATTAGGAGGTATAATCTCAATGGAGAAAATGTGTCACTGGGGGTGGACTTTGAGGTTTCAAAAGTCCATGTTATACACAGTCTCTCTCTGTCTGAAGAACAGGATGGAGCTCTCAGCTACTGCTCCTGCTCTATGAGGGCCACCATGCACCTGCTATGGTGATAATGGACTCTAACCCTCTGAACTAGTAAGCCAGCTCCAACTGAAGGTTCTTTATAAGAACTGCCATGGTCATAGTGTCTCATGGCAGTAATAAGACACTGACTGAGGCACCTGTGGACTGAGACTGAACTAGTCATCCGCACCATCATATATATACCCAATCCTAGAACAGGTTAAGTACCACATACTGCCCAACAGGTGCAATCCTGAGTTTCACATGCTTAACTCATAGTATTTCCTTGACCTAAACATTTACCACCATTTTAGCCACTTCATAATTGGGCCCTAGGCTTCATTTCAAATTACAGCCTAAATGTTTGAATTGCCCCGAAGAGTTTCTTCCCCCTACTACGTTGCCACCTTGCCTCTCGATTCCAAAGAATTACTTGATTCCTCTCTCTCAAATTTAAGGTACATTTTTATTATACTTTATATATTAAATTACAGTAGTTTCACTATATGTGTCTCTCAGTTCTAGGAGTTCAAAAAATAACAATATAAATTTAGAAGGTCAAGAAAAAAAAAGTTTCACCTTAGAAATTCCCAACACCATGCAGTTCCTGAGTGTGGTGGTTTGAATAAGAACGACCCAACCAGACAGACTCTTATGTTTGTATACTTGGTTCCCAAATAGTAGAACTGTTTGGTAAGGACCAGGAGGTATAACCTTGTTGAAGGAGGTTTCACTGGGGATGGGCCATGAGGTTTCCACTTTATGTTCTTGTGTTTGTGCCGCAACTCCCCACCACCACCATGTGGCTATAGCCTGACGTGTACATTCTCGGCTATTATGAGTGCTTTGTCTGTCTGCACACTTCTCACCATGATGGTCATGGACTCACCTGGAACTGCAGGCAAGCCCCCAATTAAATGCTTTCTTTCTAAGCGGCTTTGGTCATGGTGCTTTGTCACAGCAGTACAAAAGTAACTAAGACACTGACATATACCAAGTATCTATGGACCATCCAGACAATTTTTATTCTGTGGATCTGTCTTAAGACACATTTAAGCTTGCAAATAAGCTTATTTGTTTTCACAATTAGTGAAAATTGTACCAATGTATAATTTATTTACAGCTATTTCTCCAGTGTCAATATTAAAAGTCATCCTTTATTAAACTTAAGCTGCTTGGGGTCTGACAGTATTGCAAAGGCTGTCTTAATCATAAGTTTCTTTGAATACAGTAATAATTTTGTTTTCTTAAAAACAGCCTTTTCATATCTTGGATTTTGTTGTATTCCTTGGATCATAAGGTTCTTAATTTACAAGTTTCTTACAAGAAATCAGCAGGAATATATAAATGTATTCCTATATTATATGGCTTTGGATTATGGAAATGTGATAGATGCGGGAAAATACTGACATGATATAAATAAAAACTGTATGTTCCAATTAAAGTTCTAGCAACATAAATAATCTCTTAAAATGGTCCCATCTATACAATGGGCAGTATCTGTCCTGCCCACCCTACAGACTACCTGAGTAATAAAATAAAACAATGTATAGGAAAGCAAAGTAGGAGTCATATTGACCAAAGCAGCACAGCTATGCTTGCAGACGTTCTGGATAGACTAACAGGTTAAGTATCAGAAAAGTATGCTCAGACCAAAACTCCCTATCTCTAACAACCTAAGGCACCTTCTTTGATATCTCAATCTATACATTTTGAGAAATTCAACTCTATCCTAACTTTAGATAAAGGAAGAAAAGACTCACTTAGTAAAATCTGCGTTTTGATGTATGGCACACCAATGAGAAAATGCAAATATAGAAGTTAAGGGCCCAGAATGTAACTCAGCAGAATACTTTTATCATGGGTTAAACTCTGGAACCCAATTTTTAAAAAAAGAGTTAAGATGCTTGTACTTTATGTAGCCTCATAAACATGACGGTTGCATATCCAGACTTTTTAAGACAAGCATTATGTTGGCACAGTTGGTAACACTGTTTTTTCTCAACTGGTGAACAGATAAAGCTCCAAAGAAAAAAAGCTTCAATTAAGAAAAATTTAAATGCTAGAAATGGACTAAATATTAATTATGTTTTCCTATGTGAGAGATGCTAAGATAACTCTTCACTGCCTGTTCGAGAATGCTGTCCCTTAGACTCCACCTACAAAAGTCGAGCACTGTTAACTTGGTAAGAACTCTGACACTGGCTGGCTGGAGCGGTGGGCACCAATGAGTGGCCAGCTAAGACAGAAAACCACCTGGCCATAGTTCCTCAACTGTAAATTATGAACCTATCTGGGGAGGGCACCTATAATTAAATGTGGAGGTCACAAAAACAAGCAACAGTAGTAAGAGGCTTCTGAACCCACAAAAAAATAAGTAATAAACCCAAGGTGTTTCTGGTGGTGTGTCATCCCCACACTCAAAGTGACTTCACTGCAGCGACTCAATTACTGTGCTCCACACTGCGGTGTTCTTATCGCAGTCTCCAGTCCTTGCTAAATGGTTTAATTACAGAGGACAACTTTAAGATTTTCCTACCAGCATTCTTCAGCATGTATCAAGTTAGTGTAAATTTGGATTATGTTATATTACAATGTCTGATTTTAAGAATTGTCATTTGAGTGGCTGACCTGCATTTCATTTTCTTTTACCTGCTTAATGAATTTGGGTTTGGAATTAGGACTAAATTTCCAACAACTTTGAAATGGCCCTAAACATACTTCTTCCACCTTGTACTGTGTGTGCATGGGAAGCAGGGTTCTCAGCACTGACAATGACAAGATGAAAACCCTGACCAATTATGGAAAACACTGAAGATGTTCTATGCCAGGCAACATTGAATATTCAGCAAAGATTTAATTCTTTATGTAAAAATCAACAAATGCATTCATCCTATTAGTACTAATTTACTTTGATCTTTAATAAATGATAAAATTTTATCTACAGCAAAGAATTTTTAGATATTGTTATATTTATTATCAGTAAATGTTTTACTTGCATACCAATTTTTTAATATGCTTATATATAAGTCAAATAAAAATATCAGTAATCCAAAAAGTTTAAAAAACCTGACCTGGGCAACACAGCAAGATTTCAACTCAGAAAATATTTTTAAGACTATTTTTTTTTTTGGTCTTTTTGTTTTGCTTTGGTTTCATTTTGGTTTTTAAGACAAATTTCTTTTAGTTGTCCTGGAAATCATTTTGCAGA